TAGTCTCGCATAATATTATATATGTACGGAAAATAAGGAAAGAACAACAAGAATAAATTGGTGGAATTCAATATATATATGAGGAAAACGTGATAAATTTACATGTAATAAAGGAAGATGAGGAAATTCATTGCAAGAAAAACATAAAGAACAAAAATAAGACAAAAATACAAACAAAACATAGAGGAAAAGATAGTTTTAGTCGTGTTGTTCTTATCATCTTCTTCTCCCTTTTACACATTTTGGAGTTTCATTAATACTCCATATTAAGTCTTATTTGTGCCTCCCCACCATAAATCCCCAAGGAACCTTCATCGTTATGATCTCTTTGAATCCATGTAACTTCTTCAAGTAAGCTTCATCATCACACGAATCATTAAAAAGTCCTATCACGAATGAGGTTTTATGAATCCTCATGAATCCTCGTCTTAATCCATTGTTCTTTCACTTTCTTTAATGGGCTTGGTCTTTCCATTGATTACTTCTTATTTGCATTTTTTGGGCCGAACATCATTGTTATCCTTTTTAATCGAATTGGGCTTTCTTTCAAATTTACTGTTATTTCTTCTTGAGTTTCTATGGCCCAATCAACATAGTGGATTTATCACTATGCATCCGGCCACTCCTTTTGGACTTCTTTTGGCATTTCTTAAAGCCTTGGGTTCGTCTTCCGAATTCCGTGGATGTCTTCCGAATTCTGTAAAAGTCTTCATCAATCTGCATATAATTTTGTCTTTCTCGAAGTTATTCTTGGTTCCTCCTATAAAGCTTTAAGCTTCACATTTTTTGGCTTCATAAAAATTGTCCAAATCTCATTGAAGTTTTATAATTTCTGCTCACATTAGGCTTGGATGAGAGTTGTCTTCTTGCTTGCACTTATATTTCTCAAAAATTTTCTTGAGAAATTAAACTTGTGGGTCGATTACGAATTGTGAGCTAAAGTGATGTAATTCTACATTGTACTTGTTGCTCTGTTGGATTTTCACAGGTTCCATGAATTCATTCTTGTGCCTTCTCATTATTTTCTTCATAAATGTGTGTTAATTTTTGACATGACAAGAGATAAAACATATTGCAAAAGCGTATGAAATTATATTTAGAAACATAGAAGTTTTATACTAAAATCCAACAACAAAAATAAATCATTCAATATTATTTATAAAGAAAGGTTACGACACAATGTTTATAGAGAATTTAATAAAAATGAATCGACAACATTTCTCAGTCTTATTTCCAAAAACATTTCATAAATTGCTCTCACAAGTCGACTACGTCGTCATTGCCAATCATACATCTTCACATCCTGTTTGCCTTTCTTCACATAAAATCCATCTGTTCTCACAGACCATGTGCAGTCTTTTCCACAAATCTTAAGCCTTGTTTTACTATTGAAAACTTCAAAGGATCGTTTCTTTGACCCCCATGTAAAATCACACCAGAATAATGTTTTCATGATAGCATGTTCGCAAAAGAACCAGTGCCAATTGCCCGTGTGAGTGCCAAGATCGTTATCGGCTGATTTGCAGTGATAGCTTACGCTGTTGGGGTCGGGCATGTCAACATTTATCGACACAGTATGCTTATCCGTCCACATACAAACGGGTTCTTTCTCTTTCTGTGAATTATAGACAACACTGCTTGCAACAGCTTGTTGTGTCAAGATAAGGCTAAGAAATGTAGGGATTAGAAATGACTTCTTGGCTATGAGATCAGCCATAATGTTGTTTTGATGTTTTTTTGTGAGAGGATGAGCTGATGAGATAGATGTGCTTGTGGTGTTATATAGTGTAGCTATGATCATTGCTGTAATAAAATTAAAACACAATATTACGGTTACAATAATAAAATTCTTAATTTTCACAATGAACCAAGTATTTTTTATATACTATTATATTTTGATATGACAATAAGATTAATACATATATGCACATCATACCACTTTTTTTTCGCATTTAGGGATCATCAAATTACTATTTAATTAACAGGGGTTCATTAATTGTGTGTTTGATCATCATACCACTTTTTTGATATCCATAAGATATTACTATGTATTATCATTACTATTAATATCATATCACATAAATATATTCATAATATTAAATAAGAAGACTGATATAATTCATATAACTATTATTATTAATATATATTCATAATATTAATATCATTAATATTATTATTAATGTAATACTCCCTACGTCCAGCTAGAAAATATACATGTTTCTATTTTGGGATGTCCAATAATTACAAAGTAAACATTTCATTAAATATCTTACTTTTTTCCACAAATACCCCTACTTTACATCACATCATTGCTTTTACACCAAAAAGCAAGGGCAAAAATATCATTACACTATTTTTAACTATCCACTATAATTAAAATACTATTATTTCTTAATACTGCACCAAAAGTAATTGTATACTTTTTTTGTGGACGGAGGGAGTAGTTTTTAATGTTTAATTGTATAAAATTAGTAAGAGTGTAATGGAATTTTTTTATATTTTATATATATTTTTAAAAATGATTAAAATATATTTTTATTATACACTAAATTTTTACATAATTATATTTAATTTAAATTAAATATTACTATTTCTGTCAGACTCTAAAGCACAAATTTACTTTTTACATGTTGTTTTATCAGTGTCTTATAATACTGATGTAATAACATTTGTACAAAAATATTATACAAATATAAAAATATATTTAATATTAACTATAATGACGTACAAAGAAAATATAAATTTTAGAGGGGGCAGAAATAGTATAATAATTAAAAATATAAAATATATTATATAAAATACATAATTAACTTAATAAAATTTAATAAATCCTCTATAACATATTTATCTTTTTCAACTTTCGGCCCCACAAACCGCCAATGTATGAATAGTAAAGTTTACTAATTAAAAAATTTAGTTAAACAATGATGATATTTTTCTTGTATAATACTTCCTCCATTACATATCTATTTGTTCATTTGTTTTTTTTTTACGGAATTTTAAAAATATTAATATTATATTATACTATAGTATGAATAAAATAGAAAAGATTAAAATAATCTTATTAGTATTATATGATATAAAAGTAATAATATTTATGTAATATATTATAAGTTGTAAGGGTATTTGTAATGTTAGTAGAAAGTACCATTACTAAAAAAAGAAATCGATAACTTATTATTGGACGAACTAAAATAAAAAAAAATGAATAGATTATTAAGAGACGAAAGGAGTACGTAAGTTGTAAGAATTTTTTAAAATTATATAGTAAATACAATTCCTTAAAATAAAATTAATTAATTAATTTTGAATATACTATAATGGCGATATATATATTCATTTGAAATTTTAATAATATATGTAAATATAATTATATTTATTTGTTTCGCTGGCTAATCTACCACACTGAGGGCTAATCCTCTTTTAAGCCACAACCCGCATGGATTAGCTCATTTAGGCCCGCATTTGAGTAGGCCTAAAATGTTTAAATCCAATCAACGGCAAGAAGGAGAAATATTCTTCCAAAATGATTCTCATGCGATGTTTCTCTTTGCTTCCTTTTCCTTTGTTCTTCCTCGTATGATTCGCGAGTAGTTTACTTTTTTAGTCTAAGAGTGGAAAATAACTTGGTATGGATTTGAGATATTAGACTTGTTTTGATTTATGATATTTCTTTGGTTTATGTGATTTCTGATTTCTTTGAGTTATAATTTTTTATTTAATTGAGTATTGTGGCCAGGTATTTCAATTGGATTAATGATTAATTGCTAAACTAAATTAGACGTCAGTAATTGCATTTTAATTTGGTTCAAGTAGCAACTAGTGACAGACACCATTAGGAAATAATGGAATCAATTTTAAACAATTTCGTATAGCTAATTGTTAAATTGAATTAGGCTCTTCTAGTTCGCAAGACGGTCAAGCTAGTAAATTTTTGTGGCGTCACTAGGGTTCTAGTCTAACTAGGGAAGCAGTTGGCGGGCGTACCTAGACTATCAAGAAATTAAGGACGAGATGGTTATTAGGCGCGTGTTCTATAACTAATTTATTTAGAAACCAATAAAATTAAATATTTATCGATGATCAAATCCACTACCAAGTTGTCAATTTCATTCATAAACTGGAAATTTGTTTTTATTGAATTTATCTTTTAGTCGTAGAGTTTTTAGTTTGTTATTTTATTTTTATTTCCTACTTCCAAAATCCCCAATTTTATTATATTTATAAATCAAACAATAAAAAATAAAATATTTTTAGTTCCCCGAGGAGACGACCCTACTTCATCTATAAATCAAACAAGAAGATTTTATTATTCATTAATTTTTTTCACTCTGAAAACATATATTTTCCCAATCATCAAAACATGTCTTTAATTTTCTTTAGTTTTTATCTAATTTTTTATCTTTTTTTTTAGTAAAAAAAAATCACTTTCTCTACTATTCTTTTATGCCTTAAAATAAAATTTTCTATTTTTAATTATTTATTTTTTAAAACTCACGTCTGGTCAAATATACATATTTTTTTTTACGAGAAATGGAGTATATTTGTACTTTTATTAAAAATTAATTTTACATTCAAAATATTAAATCAATATATATTTATATATTTCGTAAAACTATTCAAGTACAAAGTTTTTTACTATTCAAAATTCAAATTCAAAATCGAAACTCCCAACCAAACACATAAATGAAACTTCCTTGTAATAAAATAGACATTTTGATATCCCTAAATAAGTGATATTATGTGTACATATGTATAAATTCTATTGTCATATCAAAATTATATTATGTGTATATATGTATAAATCTTATTGTCATATCAAAATATAATTTTATCTAAAAAAACCTTGTTTCATTATGAAAATTAAGAATTTTATTATTCAAATTGTGATATTGTAGCTTAATTTTATTACAAAAATGATCATAGATACACTATATAACACCGAAAGCACATCTATCTCATCAGTTCATCCTCTCTAAAAAAAACAACAAAACAACATTATGGCTGATCTTATAGCCAAGAAGTCATTTCTAATCCTTATATTTCTTAGCCTCATCTTTACACAGCAAGCGACCGCAGGCAGTGTTGTCTCTCCACAAAAAGAGAAAGAACCCGTTTGTATGTGGACGGATAAACATAGTGTCTGGATAAATGTCGACATGCCCGACCCCAACAGCGTAAGCTATCACTGCAAATCAGCCGATAACGATCTCGGCACCCACATGGGCAATTGGCACTGGTGGTTTTGCGAACATGCTATCATGAAAACATTGTTCTGGTGTGATTTTACATGGGGATCGAAGAAACGATCTTTTGAAGTTTTCAATAGTAAAACAAGGCTTAAGATTTGTGGGAAAGACTGCACATGGTCTGTGAGAACAGATGGATTTTATGTGAAGAAAGGCAAACAGGATGTGAAGATGTATGATTGGCAATGACATAGTAATTGACTTGTGGTAGCAATTTAATATTCACATTTTTTTTTTCGAAATAAAATGATATATGTTTTCGATTGATCATATTAAATTCTCTATAAACACCGCGTGTCGTAACCTTTCTTTATAAATATTAAATGATTTATTTTTGGTGTTGGATTTTAGTAACAAAAATATATGAATTGAAAATAAATTATGAAATTGGAAAAATATATTGTAATTCATTATCAAAATAAAAGCCTATTTATAAACTATATAAGATAGTTTCGATAGACTCAAATATAAACAATATAATCTATGGATAAGAATAAATCTAAATATAAATCTACTAAACCCTAAAATTGAATATCCAAAATATCTCCACATTCCCTCAAACTCAAGTGGTATAACAGAAATAAACTTGATTTTGCAAAGAGACATCGAAGATGATGTAGCCACGATCGTCCATCATTCCAGAATTAGAAGTAGTGCCTCAATTGAATTAGAATCGGTAACAACAGGACTCAGACTAGAAAATAACGAAACTCTCACGTGCAAGGAGGAAATACATCACTCTATGAAACTTGCACGTGGACAATGATGAGTCATGTAACTCTCACGTGCAACGAGGAAATACGTCAATCTACGAAACTTGTACGTGGACAACAATGAGTCACGGAACTCTCATGTTCGAGGAGGAAATACGTCAATCTAAAAAACTTTAACATAGACAACGACGAGTTAGAAATGACGGAACTCTCACTACAGTCGGACACATAGCTCTGGAGAAACACAGAAGACGGAACAACTCTCAGATTCAGACACATAAATTAGGACTCCTGTAGCGGCAACAAAATAAAGTCAACTAAGATAACAAAACCAACCACACCACGACGTTGGGAATTAAAGCAAGGGGCGGCGGCCGGAAAATGGTTTCAACAATAATTTACGGAAACTAGAAACCTAAAGACTATAACCAAAATCTTAATATTGGGAGACCTTTTGGTATATTCCAGGTTGAATGTACCATGAGAAACATAGGTTAGTAGGTAGTGTTTATTCAAGGGAAAAAGTAGACTCTGATACCATATGAAAATAAATTATCAAAATTAGAAAATTGTATTTTTATTGATTATCAAAATAAGAGTTTATGTATAAGCACTATAAAACACTCTCGATAAACTGAAATCTAAATAATTTAATTTATGAGTAAAATCAAATATAAATATAGATCTACTAAGTCGCAAACTAAATATCTAAAGAGAATAATGAAAAGCCACAAGAATGACTTCATGGATACTATGGAAATCTAACAGTACAACAAGCACAAAATAAAATTACATCACTTTAGCTCACAATTTGTAATCGACCCTCAAGTTTCTTATATAAAATGTTGGGAAATATATATAGGCATGCATCATATTCCATATGATTGTTTAAGATAAAAGATATGTATATATATATACATTATTATGATATATCTCAATTCGAACAAGTGGAGGTAGATAATATTAGCACCTCGTTTCAGTCATATTCAACCGATAGATATGCCATAATGACTAAGTTCCTAGGAAATCGAATGGGACTTCAAGACAACGGAACAAATCAACAACTCAATTTAGATTTGATTGAACACATATGAAAAAAGTTTGGTTCGATGAACAATTAACTTATTTGTTTTCATTTTATTTTTGAGTATTTGTATTGTATTTGTAATGTATTGTTCATTTTGAATAAATTAGTTACTATCTCTATATTTTGATTTACTAATAAATAAATAATAAATATAATAATAATACAATATTAAAAAAATTATTTCAATAACAAAAAACTAAATATTAAGTTAAATTAAAGGAAAAATTGCAAAAAATGTCCTGTATGTAGGTCAAATTATCATTTTCGAACATTTTTTTTTCACTTTCGCAATTTAGGACATTATCTGTACTCCGGGCATTATTTTTGCCCTCCGGCGCCGAAAAAATGCACGTGACCATCACGTGCGCCTTCGTGGCATGGCCGGCGCATACGTGGACATCGCCGTTGCTGTGTTGTCGTCCGCGTAGTCGTCGGACAGGTGACGTGGAATTATTGTTCTTTCACTTTCGCAATTTAGGACATTATGTGTACGTCGAGTATTATTTTTTCCCTTTGGTGCCGAAAAAACAGTTTGTTCTAAGTTTTTTTTTTATTTCAATTTGGTCCAATCGGGCCAAGTTAAAATTTTTAAAAGATATAATATTTTTTTTAAAAAAATAATAATTCCACGTCACCTATCCAACGATCCTATAACAAATTGTTTTTTCGAAACCAGGGGGCAAAAATAATACTTAGAGTACACATAATGTCCTAATTTGCAAAAGCAAAAAGAAGATAATTCCACGTCACCTATCCAACGACCAGCCGGACGACAACACCGCAACAACGGCGTCCACGTATGCGCCGGCCATGCCACGAAGGCGCACGTGACGGTCAGGTGCGTTTTTCCGGTGCCGAAAGGCAAAAATAATGCCCGGACTAAATTGCGAAGGTGGAAAAAAATGTTCGAAAATGATAATTGGACCTACATATAGGGTATTTTTTTGCAATTTTCCCTAAATTAAATAGTATTAAATAATATTAAAATATTAAATACTATTACTTTTTAAAATTAATTATTACAAAATATTAATTTAGTATTGATTAATCATAAATTTAATTAAAATGTTTTATTTTTAAAAAAATAAGTTTTATATAATGATCTGGAAAAAAATAAAATAATATAAGTTTCTTTGTTTGAAGTATAAAATAGAAAAGAATATCTTTGCTCATGTGATAAAGAAAAAAAAGTACTGTCAAAAATGAAAAATAATAAAGATACTTATATTTGAATTTCTTGGTTACTGGTGCTCTTTAATTTTCAATGTGTTAGACTAACAACATGTTTTGACACTATTTTTGTATCATATGCCAAAAAAGTATGAGAACTTTTTCCTAATATTCTCCACCCTTTTAGTATATGTACAACGATATTAAAAAAACAACACAAACCACACACAAGCTTTTCCAACCATTAGAGAAAAAAATTCCATATGTTCTATAATAAGATTGTGTTTATTTGATTGATTTAATATGGATAGTATTATTTTATTCAATCTAATTATATATTTACTATAATTGATTAAAATCGGATATTCATTAAACTCGTTACATTAATTTATTAATTAAGGATACTTAACTCTAGATGAGTAGTATTAATTTATCGAAGTCATATTCATATTAAAGTTTATATTATCCAATATTTAATCAAACAAAGTAAATATTATACTCCTCCGTCCACAGGTAAGTTTTTCAGTTGACTTTTGCATGTAGATTAAAATAAATTAATATTTTATAGATATATAATGTAATAAAATAATATAATGTCTAGTTTACTTTTCATAGCAGAAGTATTTTGCTATTTAGTTGAGAGTTACTTTTACTAAACAAAAATGAAATGGGGAGTTTTGACCTGAACACACTAAAATGATAAAATGATAAATTTACTCTTGGACGGAGAAGTATTAATTAATTTCATGATTATATAATTGTTGGCCTGAAAAATAATTTCCGATCTAAAACTTCTAGCCGAGAATATTGGTGGGTTCCTAGGCAACTCGATGCGAATCTCCGGTGGTATGCGATAAATTTAAGAAACAAATCAACAATAATCAAAGAAAAGACAGCGCAAACGAGTTGTATTGATTCAAGATCGATTCCACATTATTCTACGGAAACAAAAGAAGAAAAATGCAAAGAAAATGTAAAGAAAAGAAAGATAATTTTGTGGATTGAGATATGTTTTTTTTTTTTCTCTTGCACGACTTGCTTCTTTCATGGCAAAAAACATCATTTTCCATTCCGTAACGCTCACCTTAGACTCTCCGAAACGTTCAAAAAATATCGTCTTCACGTAAGGCCATTACCTCCTTCATAGTTAACCGATTAATGGAAACTACTTCTGCCATATAATTGATCGATTAATGACCACTTACTCTCTTCATAAGAATTAAGGTAGTGGCCAATTAATCCATTGATTTGAATGAGAAAATCAACCAATTAATTTATCGATCAATCCTTGTGCTCTATGGATACTGGATTGGGTTGGATCATGGTTTATTTTGCACTTGTATACATTGGCCATTAATCTAAGTCGATTTGATCCAATCGCCTGACATTCTTCAACATCGGCGATCGGCTATTGTTAGAATTTTTGTGTGGCAATATAATGCCCCCCCCCCCCCCGCTATATTTCACAAAATATTGAATATTAGATATAAAATATATTTTGTGAAATATACATACCTGAATCGCCAAAGGGGAAAGGCCAATTTACTTGCCACAAAAAATTATAGCTCGCCGTTATAAATTTTCATCAATTTGATCAACTTAGAAACCAACCATACCCAAAAAAAAAAAAAAATGTCTCGCTAAAGTTGGAGACAACATTGGATGCCGACTTCATATAGCGAATAGTGCTACTTGATCCAATTTCATCATACAATCACTTTTTGACTTGGTTGCAACGATCAACTCAAAATTAGACATCATGAGCGGCAATTCGTGCGGTCGGCAATCTATTTTAATCGACAATAGATGCTCAACCAGCTTTCTTGCCAGCCTGAACTTTGCCCCGAAAAAATATTCACAACATCGGCGAGCCAAGTCTTTTAATTGCCAACGATCAAGATTAGAAAGTTTGGGGCAAATCCAGATTGTTCCATCATGTAGTAAAGGTTTATTTTCAGCAATGTATCCCCGAACATTATCGATATTCTCCAAGTTGGAAGGAACAACTCAAGCCCTCTATTTTTTCTTGGCTGAAACAAAATCATTGAATTTTCACTTGGTTTGCCCATCGCTGAATCTGTGGCCTTATTTCAAAGCCAGCTATGTTTAGAATGCATTCTACGCCAAGCTCATCATCACACAACTTGCCAACTTTTTGTTTGATGTCCCGTCTATCGCCTTTATCTTTTCCTTTTACTCCATCACCGCTTCTGTGAATTGCAACTTCTCCAAACTCCTTGGGAGCATCCAAAAGTCAAACCGAAAGTTTGGGACTAATCGGTATCCATTTTTTTATCGGCGATTGGGTTTTCAACGATCGAGCACTAATTGGAACCCATTTTTCGAATGATCTCTTTGGTGATTGCTCATAAACTCGATCATCTTTCATTTTGGACATTTGGCGATCAAGTCGAACTTATTTCTGCTCATGGAAACTCGTGATTTGCTCAAATCTTCTCATTGTCGCCCGTCTCCTTTCGCCGCAGCCTGCTTGGTGACCAAGCCTCCTATTTGGCAAACAGATTGAATTATTTTTCACTCAGGCCATCTCCAACCCTCCACTCCATTTTTGCAATTGCTACAGTAAAAATGCAGTTGATCTACAGTAATTTTACTCCAACCATAAACTTTAATTTTTACTCTAAAAAGTATATTCCCTATATATTCCTCTTTTATATTATTTTATATAACTTTTCATATTTATAAATTACACCCCAACTTTAATTTATTTTTACATTAGATCCATACACATATAATTTATAAATTATTTAAAAATTACATATATAAAAATTAACATTTATAATTAATAACTATTACAAATAAAATAATTTTAAATAAATAATCAAATGCTATCAAGACAAATATGATCATAATAATTAAACAAAGATAACGTAATATTATTATTTCATAACAATTTATTACAAAAACATACATTACAAAATAGTTCAAATAAAATAAGACATATTTATTCAATGGAGTTACTATATTGCTCCTATATATGTTCTATTAAATCATTACGGAGTGCAAAATGAGCATCTTTGTCTCTAATTTGTCTATGTCGGGCAAGAAATTGTTGAAGTTGGATGGTTTCATCGGTTGCCATTTCCACAGATGGGGGTGGTGTTTCTAAAACTTCTCTGATAGGTGCACTTAGATCTTGGTCATCTTCTATTATCATATTATGCATAATAATGCAAGCAGTGATAATATCATGCAGAACATCTTTTTGCCAAAATCGAACAGCTCCAGCAATTATATGCCAACGTGATTGTAGAACTCCGAAAGCACGCTCAACATCTTTTCTACAAGACTCTTGTTTCTGTGCAAAAAGTCTTTTTTTTTGGACCTTGTGGATCACGAATAGTTTGCACAAGAGTAGCCCACTTAGGATAAATACCATCAGCTAGATAATACCCCATATTGTATTCTTTCCCTTGAAGGGTATAATGTGCAGAAGGAGCAATGCCTAGAGCAAGATTTGAAAACAAGTGCGATGATTCTAAAACATTAATGTCATTATTGGCACCTGGCATACCAAAACATGCATGTCAAATCCAAAGATCATAATCAACCACAGCTTCGAGAATAATAGTTGGTGATCCACTACGACCTGCATATTGACCTGCGAAAGCCGTAGGACAATTTTTCCACTTCCAATACAACAATCTAAACTGCCCAACATACCTTGGAAACCACGAGATTCTCCAATATGAAGCAACCTTGCAATATCATTAGCATTAGGATGTCGAAGATATTCAGTTGAAAAAATTTCAACAGCGGCACGACAAAATCTCTTAACACTTTCAATTGTTGTTGATTCACCAATTTTAATGTACTCATCAGTTGAATCTGCAAGTACACCATATGCTAACACCCAAAAAACAGCAGTTACCTTTTGTAAGGTTGATAAGCCAAGTCTACCAAGACCATCTCTCCGTTGTTGAAAATACGGATCATGATCTTTAACCACATCAACAATACGAAGAAACAGACTTCGAGACATTCGAAATCGTCGACGAAACATTTGTTCATTATATAAAGGATTATTTGAAAAATAATCATTATATAAATTACGATCTGAACTTTTACGATCACGATTAATTACTCGATGACCTGGGATAGAGCCTCGATGGGTTGATTGAGATGGATTGAGTAACTGTTCCAAATAAGCATTGTTTTGCATCAATATGGAGATTGTTGTTTCATCCTCTTGAAAGGACTCCATGAAAATTCTACTCACTTTTTCATCATCTGACGATGAAGAGTTACTCATGCTGAAGAAATAATATTGTTTTGATAAGTGAATATAAGTTTGATGAATAAACCTTCGTTGAATGTCAACTAATTTATAGAATGAAAATTTTAGATAAAATATAAATATATGAGAAATATTTGGATAATATAGATATCCATCCAACGGATGAAATGAAGATGAAATCCAAATGAACAATCATGATTGCTCGGATATGGATAAATGGATTTTTATAATTTATAATATATAATAATTGATTGGATAATATAGATATCCAATCCAACGGATGAAGTGAAAATGAAATCCAAACGAACGCTTATGATTGTTGTGATATGGATAAATGAATTTTTATAATTTATAATATATAATAAGTGATTGGATAATATAGATATCCAATCCAACGGATGAAATGGAGATGAAATCCAAACGAACGCTCATGATTGCTCTGACGTAGATAAATGAATTTTAATAATTTATAATATATAAAAATTGATTGGATAATATAGATATCCAATCCAACGGATGAAATGTAATGAAATCCAAACGAACGCTCATGATTACTTTGACATGGATAAGTGAATTTTTATAATTTATAATACTCCCTCCGTCCCAGATACCATGTCCACGTTGCCGTTTCTGTCCGTCCCACATACCATGTCACTTTCCTTTTTTGGAAAATGATTACACACTTTTTAATCTCATTTTAAATTTTTAAATTTTTTTTTTTAATTTTAATTAAACTAATTAGTTATCTTAATCTTAATTTATAATTATTTATATTATAGGATAATTATTGTCACTAATACATTCTTAATTATCTACTAATAACACCCCTCCTAAAATACTGTGTCTACAGTGTAGCAGACACGGTATCTAGGACGGAGGGAGTATATAATACTCCCTCCGTCCACAAAAAAAGTATACAATTACTTTTGACGCGGTGTTTAAGAAATAATAGTATTTTAATTATAGTGGGTAGTTAAAAGTAGTGTAATGACATTTTTGCCCTTGCTTTTTGGTGTAAAAGTAATGATATGATGTAAAGTAGAGGTATTTGTGGAAAAAAGTAAGTTATTTAATGAAATGTTTACTTTGTAATTGAACGTCCCAAAATAGAAACATGTATACTTTCTAGCTGGACGGAGGGAGTAATTGATTGAATAATATAGATATTCAATCCAACAGATGAAATGAAAATGAAATCCAAACGAACGGTTCAGATTGTTTTTTATATAGATAAGTAGATTGTTATAATATCAATATATATAGTCAAATATAATATAAATAATTGAAATTGGTCAAAAAAGTGTTTTAATCCAACGGCTAGGGTGTTGTGAAATCTAAATCAACATCTGAGATTAAGTTTCACAATGGATAAGATTTGATATCTATCCAAAATTTGTCTATAAATACATGTTTCCACTCTTTGAATTATTGCACCAAAATCACTCACTTTTCATTCTAATATAACAAAAGTTTATCAAAAGTTCTTCTCAAAATGTCCATCCGAGGTGGTGGTTATACTCATGATGAAGATGTGTTGCTATGCCAACATTATTTAGATATCTCGCAAGATCCAATTACCGGAAGGCAGCAATCCAGGGATCAATTTTGGGATCAAATCACTGATGCATACAACCAAACTAAAAATCCTGATTCGGAGATACGTAGTGCAAGATATGTACAAAATCGGATCCAAGCCATGGAGAAAGCTCTTCGAAAGTTACTTGCTTGTATCAAGAAAGTAGAAATTTTAAAACACAGTGGAGCTTCAGAGATAGATATTGTAATTCATTTCTTAAATTTATCGTTAATATATATATAGCTTGAAAGTTCTATTTGTAACCTTAAAATCTTGTTTGAGCAAAGGAGATACTAATGAAGGAAGATGCAAGTTTTAAAAAAGGTTTTAAATTTGACCATGTTTGGAATTTTTTAAAAGATTTTGAAAAATTTAATGATCATAATGAAGCTAGAAACCCATATAAAATACCTCGAAAAAATAATTCCACTCATGTATCATCATCGTCGGATAACACTGCTTTTGAATCTCCTGGAAATTCATAATTTTCTGTTAACTTAGACGATGGTGAGAGTGGATTAAATTTAAATTATAATGTTAGTGGGTCTTCATATGAGCGCCCCATAGGGGTGAAAAAAGCAAAGCAGCAGAAGAAAAATAAGGACAAAGAAGATGCTCATGTTAGTGAAGTTAAAGAACAAAATTCAATAGTTCTGGAAATACTACAAAAATCAAATTTGCACAGGCAAGAATTTTTGCAACTGGAACGAGAGAAATTAGCATTTAAGAGAATGGCACGCGAGGAAAAAATTATGAATATGGACTTGATTTCTGATCCTGCTCAGCGTGCTTATTACCAACTCAAGAAATATGAAATTTTACAGAAAAGAACAATGGAATTTCAATGATCAAATCCACAGGCTTCTTCGAATATGTTTTCTCAATATTTTAGTGATATTGGTGGAGATGAAAATGCTGATATTCCTCCGTATTAGATCAGTATATTTTAATATTTTATGCAATTGTATTTTATCAATGTAATTTTTTTTATGCAATTTGTTTTATGTAATTTGAATTCTATCAATGTAATATTTTATGTAATTTGCATCCTATGCAACGTGCTTTTGTATTTTAATTTTATTTGCTAAATAATTTTATAACATATATTATTTTCAAGTTTAAATAAATTTAAATTTAAATACAAACATATCGTTTTTTAATAATTATACATACATATTATAAATTTTTTTTGTGGAAAATATATAAAATAATTAATTTTAAAATAAAAAATTAAACATAACTTTTTACAAAGTAAAATTACACGTTAATTTAAAAAATAAAATTACATATCACTTTTAAAAAAATAAAAATTATATTACTTTTCAAACAGTAAAATTATATATCAATTTAAAAAATAAAATTATATATTACTTTCCAAAAACTAAAATTATATCACTTTTAAAAAATAAAATTATACATTATTTTTCAAAAAAAATAAAATTACATACAACTTTTTAAAATATAAAATTATATATCATCTACTAAAAAATTAAAATTACACAATACACCAAAAAAATACCATCCTGCAAAAATGGGAGGGGGGATTTGGGGTGGGTTGGAGCCCCTCCCCCCTCCCCCCCCCCCCATTTTTGGTATTTATGCAGTGGGTTAGAGATGATCTGATGACATTTAATGACATATTTTGATCCTCTCGTCGCCACCCATTTCCTCTCGCCACAACTTGTTTTCTCACTTCCTTGAGCCAAATGTTTTGATTGATCGTATGCTTTTTCCAACATGTGCCCATTTTGAATTTTATATACCAGCCTCTTCCTTTGGAGGCGTCTCTTTTGCGTCTGTGTCAAGTGTTTCGGCCCTTGAACCATCGGCGCTTTATGGTTTACAAGCCATTCATCCGACGGTGGTACAATTGGCGGTTTCCTCATTGAATAAGATTAATATTCACCTTATTGACAGTGGTAACATTATAGGCACTACCATCTTTCTTAGCGCCAACTTTCATAACCACTGCTGATGGGCACAAATGATCTTTTATCATTGGCCTATCCGCCAATGATATGACATTCATACCCACCGCAAAATAATTGCTAGCTAACTCTTTGTCTTGCTTTTCCGGCTCAACAAAATCCTCATCGTCAAAGATGATAAAAGGTTGATCGGCCGGCCTAAATTGATTGGCGGCCTTTCTTTCGTCTATCATTTGCTCAACCCGAATGGTGCAAGATATAAGTTGTTGAAAATAGCCAAACTCTTGCAAAGCAAGCTTTTCATCAAGTTGTGATGCATGTTTCTCACCACTATATGTATCGCTTAAGTATTCGGAATTTGTATATTGTAGAAATTTTTCAAACATCGAAAAAGTGCTCAATACACTCGTCTACCGGATCATGAATTTGTCGTTTTGCATTCATCAAATCAATCAATGTAACTTCAATCAGCAGGCTATAAAATCGATCGTGAAATGTCTTCTCCATCTCTTGCCACGACCTTATGGAGTTTGGCGGTAGCGCCAAATACCAATTGAATGCAACGCCGGTTAGCGATAGCGAAAACATTTGAAGTTTATGCCAATCGCTAGCTTCGTCATATTGTGCAATAAAATGACTTACATGCTCCATACTAGAACATCTATATTCTCCCGAAAAAAAGAGTAAACATAGGTGTTTCGGTGTTGCGTGGCAATGGCATCATTTGTCCTATCCAATCGGGGTAAGACCGACGATATAATGGTCTATCAATTGGGCGTAGGTGCTGCATAAATAATCCACAAACAGCCTCCGTTAATATTTGAGGATTGATGATGGTTTGAGACACCGGAGGGGCTGACAGACCAACCTGCTGCCCCCAAAATATTGTACCAACGGTGTTAAGATCGTCTGTTGGAAAAGAAGTTGGCGACGGCAACTCATGACATGGCGGCTAAATATAATTGGTCATTTGTTCATCAAATTTCCGCTGCCCCCCAATTAACCGATGCTCCAAACCCGGCCGTTGAAGAATTGGCGAATGCTGACAGGTGGAAGAATTGACGAATGCTGCCCCTGAAATTCAGGCTGTAAGTAATGATTGTCAGAACCATCGAATGGTTGTTGCTCCCCAAGAGATTGTTGTTTTTGTGTTATTCCTTGCCCATAGAACAAACTAGTTGCATTTGGGCTTCCATAAGTGGTTGTATATATCTTCTGCCCTATGACTGTCCTACCAACAACGTTAATATCGCTTTTTGGTGGAACAATCAACTGTGGAGATTGGAAAAAATTGCCCCCCGGAGCGTCATATTGTCATTGCTCCATAATGGATTGATGTGGTGGAGTAATCTCATGAGAGAAAAATAAATTTCTCGCCTCTACCATAATCGATCATTGGAATATTGTATATCAGCGGTGGCGGCTGAAAAAATTGCTCTCAGGAACGCCAAATTGATGTTGCCCCCCAAATCCACTAAGGCTACCGCTACAATTTGGAATAGTCGGTGTACTTGTCGAACGGTCCATCCGGAGTGCTTGAACCTGCCCAAATTATACTAGGGGAATTTCTGAATATATAGATGAAGGAAAATTCAAAAAAATCACCTGATTTAAGACTGTAATGGGCTGAAAACGGGATCTTCACTTTGCAACAGAATCGACATCATTTAGACTAGGCGATTGGAGAAAAATAACATCTGGTAGTTTCTGAAAATTGTTGGTTCTCCTTGTGTCGATCGGCGGCAATTCCATTGTTTGTGGCCGGCCGAAAAATGTCAGCCACTTGGCACGATATATCAAATGCAAAGTCTCGAAGGCTTTCTTGCATCGCTAATGACATTTTCTCGCGAATGAAGGTGGTCACCATCCTCTTGGATGAACCGTTGCCCTTTAAACGCGAAGCGGCACCTTCTCGACGTAAATTCTTTTGAATGGACAGCCCATGGAAGGCATCCAAAAACTAGCCGCCGTTCTTTCCTTGATTCGCCATATGAACAATTTTTTCCCAATTGTAATCGCATAGGCCATTGCGTCCCACTGGACGTGCCAATTATGTTGGCCTAGAAAATAATTTTCGGCATAAAACTTCTCGCCGGGAGTATTGGTTGGTTCCCGGAAACTTGATGTCAATCTCCGGTGGTATGCGGTAAAGTTAATAAATAGATCACATAAAAATAATCAAAGGAAAGATGGTGCAAATGAGTTGTATTGATTCAGATTGATTCCACATTACTCTACAAAAACAAAAGAAGAAAAAATGCAAGGAAAATGTAAAGAAAAGAAAGATAATTTTGTGAATTAAGATGTGTCTTTTCTTCTCTCTTGCATGACTTGCTTCTTTCATGGCAAAAAAAATTCTTTGCCATTCCATAACGCTCACATTCAACTCTCCGAAACGTTCACAAAATATCCCCTTCACTTAAGGCCACTACCTCATTCATAATTAACCGATTAATGGCCAATACTTCCACCACATAATTGATCGATTAATGGTCACTTACTCTCTTCATAAGAATTAAGGTAGTGGCCAATTAATCCATTGAGTTGAATGAGAAAATCAACCAATTAATTTATTGATCAATCCTTGAGCTCTATGGATACTCGATTGGGTTTGATCACGGTTTATTTTTCATTTGTATACATTGGCCATTAATCTAAGTCGATTAGCTCAAGGATACTCGATTGGGTTTGATCATAGTTTATTTTTCACTTGTAAACATTGGCCATTGATCTAAGTCGATTTGATCCAATCGCCTGACATTCTTAACAATCGGCAATCCACTATTATCGATAGAATTTTTGTGTGGCCATTAATAGTAAGTGTTTATGATATTTTGGTAAATAAAAGTAAGAGTCGATATAAATTGATAATAAGGAATTAAATAGATTGCAAATAGAAGAGACTATTTAAACGGTACAAACACTAAATAGTTAGTAAAATAATACCTTTGGGACAAATGAAGTATAAATTTTTGACAAATTTGATCAAGTTTTCAAATTTTAATAGCTTTTTCATTTGCGAGTATACCATAATTAATTAATTAATTATATTAACTTTCATGATTAACATGTCATTAAATAAATGAAACTTGTATTCTTAAATTAACCTCTATGCATACCAACCATTAGATTAATTGCATAATTAGTCCAAAACGGTTTAAGATAATTCAGTATGGTGTAGCAAAATACATGTTCAACACCATACCAGACACTCGTAATTAACAAAACAAGTCATAATATTGCAAGGGTTGTACCAAATTAGAATCATTCAGGTGTGCACAATTGGACTAGAATATTAATCAATTATTTTTTATTTATTTATTCTTAATATTAATTAATGGTTAAGAGTAAAACAAATAACAACCACCTGGTTAAGCATATATATTTGTTGAGATATTTTAGATATTCAGTTTTAGATTTAGTATAATTTATATTTAGATTTGGTCTTACCTATAGATTAGATTACTTAGATTTGAGTCTATCGAGTCTATTTTGTATTGCTTATATATAAGCCCCTTATTTTGATGATCAATAAGAAAATTTCATTATTTCACCCAAAATTTCTAACATAGTATCAGAGCACGGTTTTCCAAAACCAAACCCTAGTCGCCGCCGCCGCCGTCGCTGTTCGCCGTCGTCCGCCCTTCTCCGGCCGTCATTTTTCTGTCGCAACCTCCTGCTTTGGTTCCCTATGTCGTGGTGTGGTTGGCTTTATCATCGGAGTTGATTTCATTTTGCGACTATTACCGATTGGATTGTTCGATCTACTTTTTTGATTTGGGCTTTGATTTCGTGATTAACATATTTTTCTACGTTTTTTTGTTATGGAGTGTATGGACGTTCATTTACCTATTACTACTATCTTATCCGGCGATAATTAAGATCTTTGGATGCAGTCTATGAAAAGTTTCTTTATTGGT